TGGTGGCAATGGTGATGGCAGGGATGGCGACGGTGGCAATTGTGATGGCAGGGATGGCGATGGGGGCAATGGCAGCAGTGGGGATGGTGACGTCAGGGATGGTGATGGTTGCAATGGTGCCGGTGGGGATGGCAACGGTGGCAGTGGTGACGGTGGTGACGATGATGGTGGCAGGGGTGACGATGGCAGGTGGTGGCGATGGCGGGGATGGTGATGGCGGCAATGGCGGCAAGGGAAGGAGTTTTGTTTGGGCACACTGCAATGATGGGAGCGAATGGGAAACAAGAACAGGCCTGGGCTAGGAGGGTTGTCAGTGTCAATGAGATGTTTGCAGCCCTTGGCAGGTCATGCAGTGGTGTCATCTGTGTGAGTGTCCGGACTGGTGCGTCAGCATTGTTTTTTATCATGTGATGCTCAGGTGATAGCGTTTTGGGTTTCCCGTGCCGGCTTCAGACTGCAACTTCCCATGTATGCTGGCATGCTGCTGGGCATGGAAGTCGATAGAGAGGTGTCAGAGAGAGGTTTCACTTGGAATTCCTTTCAAGGCACATACTAAGTGCTGCTGGCAGGTTCACAGGTGACAGCCTTGGAGCATTTGTCTTACTCGATGCCATAATCAATCCATGAAAATTTAGATTAGCTTTAGTTTCATTCTGGACTCTTTCATAGCTGGGCCCTTGACGGACTGCATGCTACAATCCAGGTACGGCATGCAGTGGACCGGTGACACTCAAGAAATCCTGCATACACTTCCTTAATCTTACAGGGAGTCTCCACATGGACGTTTGTTAGCGACCCTTTTAAAAATTCTCACCCTGGACGTCAGGTTTGCACGTTCTGTTTCGCAATAAGACATATTCTATATAAATAAATGATAGAAATGCAAAAGGTTTGACGGAAGGCGGAGGGATGGCGAAGAACGGGGGGCCCACGTTGAGACAACGCCCTTGTTAAACGTCCAATAAGTCCGCAAAATTTATAGGCTGCCCCGGACCAGCTTTAAGGATTGTTAAATTTGTTAACTTTGAGCGCGGAAAATCTCGTGACTTCTTTTTAAATTTTAATATCACACGGTCTTTCCTTTGCTTTCCGTCTACTACCTTGACTGCTCGCCGACTTTCGCCGTTGCCGTTGACCAAGAATGTCACAGAACCAGTCGCCCTCGCCTGTACCGTCTCCGAACTATCCTACTTCATTACACAATGCCTTAATGGCAACCATTCAGCAGCCAATGCTGAGTCCGCTGCCCAGACTGTTTAGCATTGCCGACGTCCATGCTGCTATGAGAATGGGCAACAGCCCAGCGACAATTTGCAGGACAACTGCCGTCCTCATTTCTCTTTAATGTTCAAAAAAAGTTTGCTCAAGCAGGAGCGAAATGGCGCTAATAGACGGTAAAAATATGGTTTCGGGGCTGCTAGTGGAGACAGTACTTTGTTAGGCATTGTTAGCGCGCCAATAACTTTAGTGGAGATAGTTAACAAACGTCCACGTGGAGACTCCCGGTTAGATGCCATAGTTCTTCCATTTTGTTGTAAGTACAGATTTACAACGATTACTACTGCGCTTGACATTGAGCATCTAACAGCGACTCACTGCCAACACAAAGCGTTGACTACAGATGTTTATGCCATTAGACCTCATTTAAGTGAGCGAGGACAAGAGCTTGCCACAAGGCTGAAGTTTGAGAAGAGGCTTCTTCTCTGTGAGGGCGCCCTTAGGTCCAGTCTGCTGGGCTCTCTTACTGACGATGGTGACAATGAAATCTTCCAATGTGACTGGGAGGCACAGGAGCAGACCAATATTTTCAAGCTGCTCGGGCTGGGTGAGTCACGGGACTGTGTTGACCAGGTCCACATTGCCGGCGGCCACATCATGACTCTGTACTTGTCATCACAGAACTTTGTTACCTGCTTCTATCTGTTATTCTGACATGTATGCTAGCTATTTACCGCCGTCAAGGGTTGCAGTCCGATGCTGCTGCATGATAACTAATGTAATGTTTTATTGTTCTTTGCCCCTCTATTTGTTTTCAATGCAGATTTTTTAGCTCTTGAGTGTCGAGGAGGCAGAGCAGTGTCTTGAAGCTGTTTCAAGCAGCAGCCGGACCCCATGACCAATGGATGTCGAGCGCTGGACCAGATCACCTAGCAGCAAATCAGAAAGTGAGTTCCTGTCAAAGTTTGTGTTGGTTTCATGTCAGGGTTACAAATAGGCTGGTTGGGTGCTCACCAAGAATTGCATGGTTTTGCGACATCGTGTTAAGTGTGTGCTTCAGTATAGCAACCTGTCCATTTTTACTCCACTAAGCCTATATGTCTATAACTAACTGACTGACACATGTCCCGCTGCTGTTGCAGTCAACCACCTTGGACATGGTGAAGCAGTGGGCGACAGATGTGGGCGGTGGAGATTACAACAGCCATGATGACAGCAAAGGCCACCTCAAAGCGCAGCCGTTCTGGACCTGATGTCGTCTTGACTGAAGCGGATCATGAAAACAAAGGCGAAGGGGAAGGGGGGCAAGAAACGACGGTGGTAATGGATGCACGTTTATTTTGGGATGAATGCACATGCAATGTGATGGACAGCTGTATTGTCTTCTTTTGTGGAGGTCCT